CTCATTAACATGATTTATCATGCACCCACACACGTGACAAAATTACAAAAATAACGATGATGCAACAAGTTCCCATCGTCGGCATGCCTCATATGGTTATCGTAATGGACTTGAGGTCGGCAAAATGTTTTTTCTTCAACGACAGAAAAATAATCCACATGACCGTAATGCCATAGCTGTGATGAAGGATGGAAAGAAAGTAGCAAGTTTACGACGTGATGTCTCAAAAGTGCTAGCTCCCGTTATGGATTCGCAGTCAGCGAAATACTACGCTTTGAAACCAAGGCTAAGTGCTTCAAACCACTCACCAAGGTATGGATCGTTGCAATATTGCAATATTGGATTCATCGTGAATGAAGAGAAAGCAGAACGTGTGCGCCACATGCTGCATGGTTCATCTTACGTTGTTAAGTTCCAATGAGTTTTTACGTAAAAATGCAAACAAAGTGGCCCTTTTCAGGGCCACCACACACTCCAAAAAGAGAACTACCGTAACAAACACACGTTTTTGACAAATAAAACTTTATTGTTGACCCCGTTCTTGGCTAAAAATCACCCTGGGCGTTTAACCGAGGATGTCCCCAACATGTAACTTTTATGAAAACAGGGGGTGGGCGCTTGCTCAGGGATGGGCGCGTGCCCGGGGTAATACGGTAATGTAACACATAGTAACCTCCCACGCCTGGTTAACTCCCACCCAGTCACATAAAATAGGTAATGTGACATATATCCACTGCACTAAATGTTAAGTACTGAATTCTGTTCTAACTCTTCTCGTCACCTTTGATGGTAATCTCTATGCATTTACTGCTGCCTGTCATCTCTTCAAGCTCTCACAATGTTTTTTTCTTTCTTCGCTTGTTTCACCAGTGTTTTCTCTCTCAGAATGCTGTCAATCCAATGAATGGAGTTGTACAAGTTGAATCCTTTCCGGAAGATACGCCCAACTATGCAGAGAAAGCGACCAGAGCCATGGGACTAGGTTGGTAATAATCATCGTTGCACTAACTGTCAAATACCCCTATATCTGTAATATGAATACGAACATACAGGTACATTGTACTAAAGCCTTAAAACTGCTTTATATGCAGAACACTACTCGCCGATCAGCAGGAAAACTGATCAAATCAGTTAGTTCGGCAATAAATCTTAAAATATTAGATCACTGAATGTAGCCTGTACTAAAGGCAATTACCAAATAAAAATCCGTTTTAGTTCTCATCTGACAAATTCCGGAACAGGAACTTGAATATTGCTCGTTCACATTTGGACATACAATGTAAAGTTCTCAAGCATGCTAAGAGTGAATGATTTTAAATTTAGTCTTGACTCGTGGTGTAGTACTGATACACATCAATTTATTTTGCAATCATATCTTCAATGTACTTTGATGAATTCTTTTTTAAAATTGGTACAAAAACAGAAAATAATGGTATCCATATGGATGTTGATTTGTTTTTTCCTCTGACTGACTGGTGTCTATTTTAGTCCCCCCCTCCCTCCAAAAAATTTTTATGAATTGATTTGATTGGATTCAAGCTTGGTATAAATATGAAACCTTATGGTATTGATACATTTTGCTTGGAGATTTCATTTAAAATGACTGACTGGTGGCCATGTCGTTTTATTATTTCTTGGACATACTTTGACTGATTTTGTTCAAGAAAATTGTCTTTACTCAGTGGGTAGCTCGAACAGCATGCTGAATACTCTCCCAACATTTAATTATAATTTACATTTTTCACTTACATGTACAATTAACACAGTAACTAAAAACTGGATAGAAACAATGATTTGTTATTGTTGTGATCACTCAAGTATTTATGCTTTGACCTCCGTGTGTTTGTGTGTGTGTGTGTGCGTTCGTACCTGTATCTTAGAAATGCCTGGACCAATATTATACATATGCACATCAAATTGTTTCACGATCTGATTAAAGATGGCCGAATGGTGGCCATTTTTGTGCTAAAAAATTATCAAATATCAAGCATTTCTGGCATTTATGGATGGATTTTGTTCAAACTTGGTACATGTACATACATTATTCATTACAGGTTTCTGATGCACTAGCGGCCATTTCGTTTTAATGAATGGGCTTCTAGAGCCATGTCTCTGACATGCTTTGACTGATTATGTTCAAATTTTACATATTCATTATACATGTATTCAAAATTGCTGATTTTGTTTTAATTAATGCTGTTCCAGAGCAATATCTCTCAATACTCGTTTTATTTTAGGAGTTCTCCTAAATTCAATTTCAGTATTCTGTTGGATAATATGTCTTATGAACTGTACAAAACCCCAAGTCCTTGTTATGCTTACAGGAGTCAGCGAGAGATTCATTGCGAATTATACACAGTGTATATACAAAATTACGTTTGAACCTGTTATGCCAAACATCTTGGTAAATCAATTTTCTCAGTGTCTTTTACATCTTGTATAGACATAGTCGTAAGATCTCCAGGTTTCACAGTGTAGCAATTGGAAATGTGATCTACCACTAGAGAGCGTTTGTTTGTTTTTTCCCCCACTGGTGTGTGTGATGCACTTGTATCCCAGCAATCAACAATTCCTTATGAACATTTTCCTTTCTGGGGTTCTCAATCTGATAATTTTTGTTCACTATATGCTAGGTCAGGGTGAATATTGTGAAATGAGTTGTGTCATTATTGTTTTCCCCACAACACTTGTACAACAAAGAAACAGAATTGTTCACCAAAACTGTTCACACTTTTATAAAATATTATTTACGATGTAAAAATTATTAGCGTGTTAAGAAAAATCGTCAAAGTCAAGAGCTTCATCATTATCTTTGTTGTTAAATGTGTTCGATTGTATGAAAGCTCTTGATGCAAACCAATTTTTGCCATGATGTTTTTCAGCATGATTTGCACTTTAACCCTTTGACCTGACAAGTCAAGTATTTTATTAACCGATCAAAATAATATGACAGAACCCCACACCCTCCCCGT